GTGTGTGTGTGTGTGTGTGTGTGTGTGTGTGTGTGTATACATATTTTTTACATATACATATGTATATCCCAGATACATATTTTAGAACGCATACACACACCTCACATACAAATACACTCAGTCAACTGGCATACTGATGGTTGGTTTTATACTATGGGAGACAATGTACATGTGTGCAGGTGCATATATGTGTGGGGATATTCAGAGACCAGAGGACAACCCCGGATGCCATCTTCAGGAATGCCATCTACCTCCTTTGACACATGGCCTCTCACTGGCCTGGAGAGCACCAATTAGGATAGACTGGCCCAGAGAGCCTACATGCTCAGCAGCTTCACATGGGTTCTGGTGACTGAACGCAGGTCCTCATGCTTGTGAAGCAAGTCTGTGTCCGCTGAACGATTTTCCTGGCCCCTATTGGTGATTTTAATCAACTTAGACCCCTGTCCTAGGAGACAGGGACCAGTCTCTATGCAAGTCCTACCGCCGCAAATGAGTCTATAGCCTTCATGGGGACAGTCACTGTGCCCATGCGTTTTCTGTCACTATGACCCAATACCTGAATTAATCGTCTTATATGAAAAAAAGGTTCATTTAGGCTCATAGCTTCAGACGTTGTAACCTATGTTTGGTTGCCCCCGTTGCATCTGAGCTGTGGCAAGGCAGGACACACTGGTGGGGGTCATGCAATGCTTGCAAAAGAGCAGGGAGGAGAGGTTAAGGGCCCACTGTCCCTACGTGCCTGTCATTTTACTCATTGCTCTGGCAAGACACCTGACAAAAGCAACTTAAGGAAAGACAGATTCCTCTTGATTCACAATTCACAGTTACAGTCCACGTGGTGAGGCAGGCATGGCAGCAGAGCGCAAGACAGCTGCTTACACTGCAGCGGCAGTCCGTGAACAACTATGAAGGCTGATGCTCAGCTATCGAGTTTCCTTTTTATTCATGCCGGGACCCCAGCCTATGAGATGGTGCCACCCACATTGAGAGTGGCTAACCTAATCTAGATAATTGCTCACAGATGTGCCTGGAGACTTGTCTCTATGGTGATTCTACACCCTGTCAAGGTGGGAATTATCACCTATCAGTCTCCATAGGCATATCCCCAGTGACCTAGCTTCCTCCCTCTAAACCCACCCCTTAAAGGTTCCATCAGGGTCCATCATTTCCCTAGAATATATAGTTGTAGAAACACACTGGGAAGACTAGAACAGAAGGGTTAAGTGGAGAGCAGACAGTAGAAACACACTGGGAAGACTAGAACAGAAGGGTTAAGTGGAGAGCAGAAGGAAGATGGGGGATAAGGGAAAGAATACCCGGAGGGATAACTTACACTAAGGGCCACAAGAAGGGTTATATATAAACCTACCACTGTGGAAGTGTCTTAAAATATATACATATCTGAAATAAATCTAAATCGACTTGGAAAATAACAAGGAAGATGATGTCCCAGCTGAACATCTTTTGCCACCAAGTGAAACATCCAGTGCCAGAAATGGGTTACATCTAACTGAGTTGTTGACCAAAGGAACCCATAGAAACCCCTAAACAACTTAAGATGTTGCTCAGGCTACTGACTGCTTTGCACAAATTAATGATACAGCTCTTTATTTTACTAAAAAAAAATACACACACACACACACATATATATATATATACTACAGCTTTCACCCCTTCTGACTAGTGTTCATGGTACTGGAAGGTACTCTACATGCTACCAGGGGAGACAGGTAAACATCAACCCAGCTACAAACCCTGCAATCTATAATGGTGTCCTGCCTCCATAAAACAATGCAGCAATGGAGTATCCAACCACCATCTGCTTGGATTTAAGGCCCACTCCATGAAACGAAACCAATGCCTGACACTGCAAATGTTGACAAGAACCTGAGACTAGATAGACTGTAGATTTAAGGGAAAACCAAATACTATTGTTTTCCTAAAGGAGCATAACAATAAAACGACTCCTAATGACATAGTGCTATGCCCATAGATCAGTGTCTCACTCAGCCATCATCCCTTGCAGTAGATGGGCGCAAATTCAGATACCCACAGCTGGACAGCACACAGAGAATGAGCGACTTTGGAGCACTCGTTCCTAAATGGAATGTATTCATCAAACCTCTCCCCTCAGGGTTCAGGGAGCTATGCGGAAGAGGAGCAGAAAGATTGTAAGTGCCAGAGGGAATGGATGACATCACGGAAACTGTGTCTTCCAGACACAAGAGGACTGACGCACATATGAACTCATGGAGACTGTGGCAGTGTGCACAGGGCCTGCACAGCCTCAAGACAGATGGGATCCCAGAATGAGAGGGGGAGGTGGATGCAATCTCCCATCCCTAATCAAGAAGCTGTCTCCAATTGACAACTACTCGCAAAGGAAAAAGTCACTTTCCTAAAATAGTTTCACTGGGTATTTAAGCCACACTTAAGGGCAGACCCCATGCCCAGAAGTGGATGGCCAACACAAAACAAACTCAACAATATTTTTATAGATTTTTTTGTTTCATATTGCTTTGAGCACCTTTTTATACTACAGGTCTTTTACTTTTGTACTATGGTTTCTGATTTTGTGTAGTTATGGGTTTTGTCTGTGTGTGTATTTCTTATGCTTCCTCTTTTTTTTTATTCTGTTTTTGTTTTTGCCTGTTTGTTTTCTAAAAGGAGAGAAAGGCATGGAGTTGGATAGGTGGGGAGGCAGAAAGGATCTGGGAGGACATGAGGTAGGGGAAATTGTGATCAGAATACATTGTTGAATTTTCAATTAAAATAAAAATATCATAATGAAACCTACAAGTAGGATAAAAACAGATTCCATCATTTCCCAGTAGCTCTGCTCTGGAGACCAAGCCTCAACACATGACCCCTGGGAACATACCAGAGCCAAACTGTATCAGCCATTGTCTTCTGAACCCATACATCTGCCTAACATGGCGCCCAGCACATGCCGTTGGATATGTCAAAGCCCAGTGTAAATGTCCCCACCTCACAGAAGCCACCCTAGATTTATTATCTCCATTACCATGTTCTTGAGTCTGTGTCCCCCTAGCACTCTGAACCAACCTATGTTGGGATATATCAGGCAAAGGGGAATCTAGTTTTGTGGCCAAGGAAAGCCAGGCCTAGCCTCACACACCTCTCCGTCACATTCTAGCTGTGTGGCCTTGGACAGACGCCACAGCCTCTTTGGCCCTCCACATCCTGTGTTGTAAAATAGGAATGATGACCCCTTTCCTCTCAAGGTGAGTGGAATGCTGTGCTGGTTGTCTCTGAGAATCCACAGACACAAGTCCGAGTCATCGTTATTACCTTACTGTGAGGATACCGTGTGGATACTCTTCTGACAGTTCTGTCTCACCAGGTATGGCTATTATAAGAGGCCCAAAGGAGGACATAGGACTTGGCCTCTACAGGGCATCTATGTCAGCCATCACTCCATGGGGGCAAGGCTTGCTGTACATGGCCCATCTGAGGCTGGTAACAGCCCCCTGCAGAGGTGATCACATCTCCACCATCCTTACTGAGGGCTGGGCTAAAGCTCAGAGAGGTGATATGATATAACTAGCTGAAAGCTGCACAGCAAGGAAGAGTTCGAGCTAGGATTCCAACCCAGGTCTCTGGGAAGAGCCTCATTTGCATACTGTCCACCAGTACTATCACATTCATCTCTGTATCTCACAACCTAGCATGCAATGATGCCTGCAGATTGATGGTCCCAGAGATACCCCCATCCAAGAACCATGACCTTCCAGCTGCATCCCTTGTGTGTAGACAGGAGTCCCTTTATCCAAAGTTTGATGCAGATGACCACACTGGCAAAGCTGTGTGCCTGCTGGAACTGGCTGAAGTGTGATTCTGTCACCTCCAGGCCTTTGCTTAGTTCTGAGACCTTCTTCTTGCTTGGGTTATCTAGGGAGGGGAGGAAGTGGCTCCTCACTTCTGTGGACAATGCTCATGTCTCTTTACAATTCATCTTATTACAGGAGAAAAGTCAAGAGAGAATAAATGAATCCATTGCCACTTATTCATTTCAAAATGAGGAAGGGGGGATTTGAAACAAGCAGAGGAGCTCAGCCTAAGCCTGACCACCCAGAGATGGTACCTTCATGAAAGACACCCCCAATTTAGCTCTTCCTGTCTAAGTCCACACACACATAATTTTAACCAAGGTTCTGTTTGAAATCCTGCTCCATCCTCTTAAACTGCTTTGGTTGTTACTCTCAGCTTTTTTCTGTTTTATTTTTTGAGATGGGGTCTCATGTAGACCAGGCTAGTCCCAAAATTGCTATGCAGCCAAGGATAACCTTGAACTCCTGATTCCACCTGCTTCTACCTTCCAAGTGTTAAAATTACAGGTATGGATCACCACACCTGGCTTAAAATTTTTGGTGTGTTAAGAATGATTCCAGCCAGGCATGATGGCACATACCTGTGATCCCAGTAGTGGGGGAGGAACAGTGGGGTGATTTCTTTAAGTTCTGTGCCAGCCTAGGCTATATAGACAGACTGTGTCTAATAATAATAATCATAATAATTAATCCCTGCCTATTTTAGACATACCACACACTGAAGCAACCAGGATGAGTGTATACAGCTGTGGCTGATCTCAAGCAATTCCTCCACAGTCAGTTCTGTGCCTATGTAAATCAGAGAACACCTGAGCATAAAAATGAGCACATTAAGAGTTTGTCTTTAAAAATGTGTGTGTGTGTGTGTGTGTGTGTGTGTGTGTGTGTGTGTGTGTGTGAGTGTGTTCCTTCTAGCTCAGATAGGCTTATATCTGGGGTGGGGCACCAGGAAACTGAATGAGGGTCTCTCATGACCCTTCCCCCATGGTGCTTGGCCATAGCTCCCACTAGTCACTCAGTGGCAGAGTTTTGTCCCTGAAGGTCACACCCAAGTGGGGAACAGGTATTTTCCAGGGTCTCCATTCTCCTGTGTGTATCCCAGGTCTGTGTCACCAACAGCAGCTCAGTGACTTTCAGGCCCACCCCATCCTTCCTCCCCATCTCTGAGCTGCCTAGCCTAGAGCAGCCCACCTCTGTTACCATGGGAACAGAGTGGATGCTGGGAATTCTCCCCTTGGGTGAATTCTCCCACTTTCTTGGGCCTTTAACACTCATAAAAACAAATCAGAAATTGCCAGGTTTGGAGTTATAGGCCAAACTCAGGGGCCATTCCAATTCCTAATGGCAAATTAATGAGATCCTGCCTCAAATAATTTAAAAAGTATTAAAGGGCTGCTGGGGGGAGCTAAAAGACAACTCAGAGTAAAGTGTTTGCTGCAGAAGTGGAAGGAACAAGTTTAGACCCTCAGAACCCATGGAAAAGAAGAGTGGGCATTGTAGCCTCCTGTGACCCCATCCACAGAATACCCAGAGCAAGCTGGCTAGGCTGACTAGAAACACCATGAGCTCTGAGTTCAGCAAGAGACCCTGCCTCACCTCAGGAGGTGAGAAGAGATGGGCAAAGACACCTAGCATTAACCTCTGGCCTCTACACGCATGGGCACATATGTAGACAAATACCCACACACATGTAAACACACACACAAGAGGGGATACAAAGAAGTGATAGGAAGCCTACCTAGCATGCAGGAGGCCCTAGGTTCAATCCCTGGTACCATTTTATTAAAAAAAAAAAAAAAAGAGGTCAAAATGATGCGTACACACAGACTCCTGGCAAGAACATCAGCCTGCACTGAATAGGAGATGCCCACATGGCTTTGTGATGCTCCCTCCCCTTTCTCCATCCTTCTCCATCACCAGCCACGGTTATTCCCTTCCTGCCGGCCTGGCTCAACTCTTTTGAGACCTTAGGCTATAGGATGAAGGATCTTAGGATCCCAAGAGGGGAACGTGAGCTACCGCTATCTACGCTAAGCTGGGTCATGTAGCGTGAATGTTCGTCCCCAAAGGTCTCTGCTTTGTGAACTCCTTCCCAGGGCAGTGGTGTGGTGAGGTGCGGCTGGTGTGAAATGCTGTTCTCTAAGGATAACAACCACTACCATCCTCATCAGAGCAACTTGTGACCACTTGCCACCCTCAAAATCAGGCCTGTTGTCATTCCCCTCACAGAAGGAGGGGGTGGTGAGACCCTAGTCTCGGGAGGTATTAGGGTCCATCGATGTGGAAGGCTCTCTGAAGGGTGTTCCATCTATGCACTTACAGAGAAGTGGTCAGTTAGGCTGTGGGGAGACTTCACAGTGATACAGCTGTGGGGGGGGGTCACCTGAACCCCTGTAAGTGACCCTCTTACCTGTGCTCTGTAACTAAACCCAATGAACTCGTTGGGTTGCCAAGCTGGACTTGAATGGAGCCATTGCTTTAGTCTGTCACTGATGCCCTTGTCGGGGGTGACACAAGTTTGTTCATGTGTCAGCAGAGACAAGAGCCTTTAGAAGTGATTTAGGTCATGAGGGCTCTACCCCAGCAGGGGTATTTAGTTTATTATAGGAGGGACTTCCTAATGGAAAGATCAGTTTGCCCCATGCTCTCCCTTCCCCGCTCCCTCTCCCCATCCCCTGCCTCTCTCCCTTTCCAAGTGATATTCTCCAACACATTATGACACAGCACAAACCCTCACCTGGTTCACCCCCTAGATCTTGCACCTTCCAGCTTTCAGAACCTTCTGTTACTCATAAGCAATCCAGCTTTGGGTATTCCATCATAGCAACTGAAACCAAATTACAACAGAGAGCATTAACATGCCATGGGTTCAGGTTCCATGTCTGTCTTGGCCCTGCCTGAGCTGAAGCAGCTCTCCACCAAAAGCCACACAGCCAAGTAGTGGCTGTCTAGTTCAGCATCCCACCTCCACCAGCACAGTGTGGAAGTCCCTGCCAGGATGCACCAGCTGCCAGGGCAGCAAGGGTGAACCTGATGCCTTTGACTCCAGCAGGATAATGGGGAAGCCAGGAGAGGCTGTGTTCTCCTTTCCCATAGCTATGGTGGGTGGACACGCAGCTGGCAGGCAGCCAGACAGCCGGAGTCTGGGCATAAAAGATGGAGGCTTAAGAATCTCTGGTCTGGAATTCTGCCCTTTCCCCATGTTATCACCTGACATGAGGCAATCAGACATCTCCCCATGAAGGTAGGACTTGAACAAGTCATCTGTCTCCAGGAGATGCCTTCCCCACAGGGGCTCTTGATTCGTGGCCGTCCCCTCCCCTTCTACCTAATGTCTAATGTCAGACAGGCATCCTTGGATGCCTTACTCCTTAGGTCACAACCACACTGAAGCACCTTCTGTGTATCCTATGTACTCCATGATAACAGCAAAACGTCTCATCCTTCAAGACCCTCACTAATTTCAGATGCCCCCCAAAATCTAGCCAAACAAAGCCTGGCCCAGCTGTCTGTCCTCCTCAGCTTCCCCCATGTCTCTTTGACTCTCATCCTCAGCAAAAGTCAACCTCAGCTATCACAGGACTTAGTCCTGACCCTAGACTGTGACCCTCTTGGGGGTGTGTAACAAGTCTTTCTGCCAACGCCCCCCCCAACCCTGTCATGGCCTGGCATAAGGTGGATTTATCCCTCCATTCTCAATGGCCTGAGTTCTGAAGGCACCAAGGAAGCAACTTCTCTACTTACAATGAAGGCCTAGCAACTATCTAGCACTTTCCTCCAAACGGTTCGTGAATTCAAGTTTGCTGAGCATAGAAGGCAGAGCTCTACAGTGTGTGGCATGTAATTCACTCAGCTTCCTGGGAGCAGTGTTCCTCAGACACACAGCCCCACCTCTGACCTCCCAATGCAAGGAGAGACCTTAGTCTACCTGAGAGTGTTTGGAGGGACCCTTCCAGATGAAGCACTCACACCCTCTTCACTGAATTTTATTTCTTATCTGTTAGGAGTCATGGCAGCCACATAAATAACTTTGGACAAAATGACAAAGAGCATACAGGCAGGTAGCATCGTGGTAAGTTCCTTCCTTCCTTCCTTCCTTCCTTTCGGGCGTGTGGCCTCATCAAGCCTCCACCCCACTATACCCCTCCTGTCTGGACGAGAGGGGAAGCAGCCCCCAGTTGCTGAGGAGATGCGTGTGTTGTGGGCTCTTGGGAAATGCTGGGGCCAGGGAGGAGGGAGCAGCCGGCCATGGCAGGCGCCTGAAGCAAGCTCCCGGCAGTTGCTCCATCCACAGAACAGGGCGATGAGGCCCCAGGGTGGGGCATTGCATCACATTCTTAGAAAGCTGTCTCTGTACCCACATTTCCATCTGGGGCCCGGACTAGGTTTCTTTAATTGCTGCTTTTTCACTTCCAAGTTTCTGAGGACAAATCTGGACATGGCTGTGGTGAAATGACAGTTATTAGCCAACCTTCCCGGGCAGTTAATCAGAGCTGCACATGGCTGCAACTCCCACGGGTGATCTTTAGGGACTCCACACACTCTCCTCTGCAGTGGGTACAACACGAGCCCTCAGAGAAACTGAGGCAGACCCATGGGAGATAAAGCAGCCTGCCCATAGCCACACAGCATATACCTGGTGGAACCCAGGATTGGACTCTGCTTTGCTCCTTAGCTTTGCCTCTCCTGACAGACAGTGATCTGGGCTGTGGATTCAGACCGGGTGCTGTTGGAGGTCAGCAGGGCTGCAGGCTCCCTGCTGTCAGGGGTGGGCCCTTTCTCTTCTCCAGAACTCAGTTTTCCCATCTGTAAAGTGGGAAACTTGAACAGACCACTGGTTATCGAGTTTTGATTTTTCCTTGCATTTTTATTTGCTGGGGGTGCAACCTAGGGCCTTGTTCACACTAAACCCACACTTTCTCACTAAGGGGCAGACCCTCACCCATTCTTTCTCTCTCTCTTTCTCTCCCTCTCTAACAAGGTCTCTATGTAGCCCTGAATGATAATGAAACTCACTCTTGTAGACCAGCTTGGCTTAAGAGAGCTGCCTGCCTGTGCCTCCCGAGTTTGGGGTTAAAGGTATTTGCCATCTCCTTGGGCTGTCTTCACTTCTTAAACTTAAGAACACTTCAAGCTAAAGTTGGCTGCAAACGGGCAGGAGGAAGCTCTGTGGAATGAGGAGAACTTCGAAGATGGGACTGTGGCGACAGTTGTGCAATTCAGTGTGTTTTCTATAGACCGTATACTTACAATGGGGGAATTTTATGGTCTGTAAATAATACTTCAATAAGGCTATAAAGAACAAAAAGAATGTTCTATGAAACACTAGTATTCAGACCCAGGACTCCAAGGAACCTTGAAAATCCAGTGGCTGCATGATGGTGGATGGCCTTACTCTGGGCCCTTCCAGGGTGCTGAGAACATAGACCATAAGGACTCCACTTTGGCTTCCTTCCCTCCCATGCCACCTACCCAGTGTCCTCCAGCCCCAGGAGTGTGGTGGAGGCTCTCAAGTCCTTGTCTGAAGAGTGAATGACCAAAGGAAGAGCTCCCATGCACTGTCCTTGAAAGGACTTTTTTTTTTTTTTTTTTTTTTTTTTTTTTGTGTGTGTGTGTGTGTGTGTGTGTGTGTGTGTATACATACACACACACATGAGCATGGGCACGTGTGACAGAGACCATAAGAGAGTTCAGATCCCCTGGAGCTGGAGTTACAAGTTATTATAATCTGCCAGATGTGGATTCTGGGAACCAAGCTCAGGTCCTCCACAAGAACAGCCAGTGCTCTTAACCCCTGGGCCAGCTCTCCAATCTCCCTGTGAATTTTTACAGGATTGTGCTAGACCTGGGACAGTCTGGAGGCAGGTGGCTGTGTCAACGACTAATCCTCACTCCTTCCGGCACTGAACTAGTGGTCCCCAGCAGGTGTGTGATAATAGACTGTTGTCTGTATAAAGCAGTGAGTGAGTGAGTGAGTGAGTGAGTGAGTGAATGAGTGAGTGAGTGAATAAGTGAATGAGTGAGTGAGTGAGTGAATGAGTGAATGAATGAGTGAGTGAGTGAATGAGTGAGTGAGTGGGTGAGTGAATGAATGAGTGAATGAGTGAATGAGTGAGTGAGTGAATGAGTGAATGAATGAGTGAGTGAGTAAGTGAATGAATGAGTGAATGATTGAGTGAGTGAGTGAATGATTGAATGAATGAGTGAGTGAGTGAGTGAGTGAATGAGTGAGTGAGTGAATGAGTGAGTGAGTGAGTGAATGAGTGAGGGAGGAAATGAATGAATGAATGAGTGAGTGAGTGAGGGAATGAATGAGTGAGTGAGTGAATGAGTGAGTGAGGGAATGAATGAATGAGTGAGTGAGTGAGTGAGGGAATGAGTGAGAGAATGAGTGAGTGAGTGGTGAGTGAATGAATGAGGGAGGGAGGGAGGGAATTAATGAATGAATGAGTGAGTGAGTGAATGAATGAGTGAGTGAGTGAGCGAGTGAGTGAGTGAGTGAGTGAGTGGTGAGTGAATGGGTGAGTGAATAAGTGAATGAGTGAGGGAGGGAGGGAATGAATGAGTGAGTGAATCAGTGAGTGAGGGAATGAATGAATGAGTGAGTGAGCGAGTGAGTGAACCAGTGGCCCATGTCTCCCCTGAGACAGTGGAGGGATATGTCGAGTACATGCGTATTGGATGCTGCTCCAAACACCTGACTTGCCAGGAGCAGCCAGCTGAGTGGAGGGCATGATTCACTGCGAAGGGGACAAGGAGAGCGAAAGTCATGTCTTGTGGGGTGGAGGGATCACATGCAGCATCCAGACCTAGTGGAGACCTGTCTTTTGTTTCTTTTTTCTTTCCTTTTTAACCAGACAGGGGATCAAACTCATAGCAAACACTCTGCCTCTGAGTTATATCCCCAGCCCTGGCTTTGGGGAGCTGCCACAGGACGACAAGGCCCTAACCACTTGGAAGTCTTGCACTATCCCCTTGAGATGTGGATTCTGAAAGGGCCTCTGATGGGCTTCAAATGGTCCAGAGACCCTTCCTTGCCCAAAAATCGTCAGGTGCCTGTCCTAACAGTCCTGTGAGGACCTTACCTAATGACAGGCTGAAGAGTGGACCTCAGAGCCAAACATGGGTTCTGATTTTGCAAGAAAAGGAGAAAAATGCTGGGCAGATCAAAATAACTTGTGTCCTCTACCCACTGGAAAGTTCCACAGTGACAAAAGATGAGTGTCTGTCAAGATCAGGGGTTTCACAAAGCCAGGTAAGCTGGGGCCCTGAGCATGGGACAAACCTGGGGTCCCAGTAGGTGCAGGAGGCAGATGGAATTATAGACAGGCTAGGAAGCCAAGGAGAGCTAGATGAATACATGTCTTCTTTCTCTCTTTAAACCTCTTGGCTAAGTCACTGACTTGATACCAACAGTCGTATCTGCACCAGAGCCATTTCCTCTGTCCTAAAACCTTTAGGAGCCCTGTGCCTTTGATGAAATGGTCTCCAAGGGGACAATCTGAGACAGGCACACTGACAGTACTTACCTGTAAGCCCCAGCTCCAATTTATGTTAAGAGTAAATAGGAACAGGGCGGTGGTGGTACACAACCTTTGATCCCAGCACTCCGAGACAGAGGCAGGCAGATCTCTGAGTTCCAGGACAGCCTGGGCTACACAGAAAAACCCTGTCTCAAGGGGAAAAAAGAGTAAATAGGAATGGATGCGGTTCACAAATGTCTCCCTTGCTCATGCTACATACCTGTTTTCTGATCAGTCAAGGGTCCACAAGGAGAAAATTGTTGACCCATTTGGTGGCTGAAACAACTGAGCTGAAGTGACTTACCCACTGACGAGTGGCGGAATTAAAACTTGAGCCCACGTCTTGCTGGCTCCAAAGACCCTGCTCTATAGTCTCTACAAGTATTCTCAGACAGCCATGTCACCTCTCCAGATTTCCTCGGTTACAAATGACAAGGGACTGAGAGGGACAGCCCTCTAGGTAGATTGAGCAGGAACACTCCAGGTGGGGGCAGCCATCATGACCCTGAGGGCCATGATGTGGTCATCACATCTGGAGATGACTGACTGAAGAGCCTCTTCGGCCAGAGAACCAGCCCTCTGTGGGCTGGAGATGAGGCAGAGCCTGAGTCACTAGCCTCTCTCTGCCACCTGAAGGATGGGGACAACCCCTGCCTGGCCTCCCCAGACCCTGCTCTCCGCCCTTAGGAGTGTCTGTCCACCGGACCCAGCACACTCAGAGTCAATCTGAAGTACGTGCTCAACCACACAGACTCCACAAACAATGCAGGGAAATAAAATTCTTACAGGAAACGGCATCATATTGACTCACGACAGACCCATCCATAAAACAACTGGGGTACCTGGGCCAGCTCAGGGTGCAGGCCCTGGCCTCTCTACTGAGCCAGGAGGAAATAGGTGCTGCTGGGGGGAAGGGTAGCTTCCCTTGGCTGTCTGGAGTCTGGCTGGGGCTCTGTATTAATTTTCAAAAGAGGAAAAAAAATATTTTTTAAAAGAACGAGTCCCAGAGCATTGTGGTCTCCATGCCTGCCTTGTCTCAATAGTGCTATTGCAAAAGCCCCTCTTTAGACGGAGGAGTTTTGCAAGCCATTTGCCCTGTTCAGGAGAGAAACTCAGCCCTCTCCAGGGGCCTGTGTCTTCATCTATCCTTCTTGGCAAAGCAGGTCCTGCTGTGGCCCTGATCCAAGTCTATTCTCAGACTTGGGAGGCAGCACAGTGCAGCACTGAAGTGCCCAACAAATCCAGTTCTGTAGGACCTCAGTTTCCTCATCTGCAGAATGGGAATAAAGCAAGAGCCCAGGTGCAGATCACATGGCATGGTGTACTCTTTCCTGACCCTTCCTGAGCAACAGCCTGGAAGCACAGCCTGGGAGTGTAGTGAGTACCCTGTCTTCATCCAGGGAGCTTGGGCTTGCCCTTCTCTGCCTTGAACTCACCCAGCAGCTGTAGCCTGCCAGCCTCCCAGGGTGTGACACAGCTGTAGGAAATGGGTTACCAGTCAGGTTTAGGACACTGATCTGGGAGGCTCTGAGGACCAAAGTGCTATATCTGCCTGCTGCCGTGACAACCCTCAGCTGAGAAGTGGCCATTTTTCTGTCCTGGAATCTGAGTGACTGAGAGTTACAAAGGGTCAGTGTCCCCTCTTGATTACTGAGAACTGAGCTGGTAGCTCTGGGTGGAAGACACCAGTAACACAGCAGATAACAGTGTCCCTTGAGAGTAAACCAGGTGCCTTCTGGTCCCCAGTCCCTGGCACAGCATTGGATTATCGCATGGCCCTGGCCATGCCTAATACTGGTTGGGCCTTTGTGTGATAACACACCCAGCTCTGCTCTCCATTGATCACCACACATGGAGGCCAAGGTGCCCTCTCATGACCATGCTCTGAGCAGGCCACACACACACACACACACACACACACACACACACACACACACATGCTCCAGTGCTCCCAAGTAATAGCCCAGACACCTTAATTAAGCCCTCAAGCTTCCTTGCGTCCTGGTCACTGCTGAGCTAACCAGCTTTCTGCCACCATACTACAGTCTCGTTCCAGCACTGGCAGGTCCCTAACCATAGCATGATTTCTACCCATTGCCTCATGCTCTCACATCTTTCTGGAATATTCCAATGATATTATATCCACCGCCTTATTGCCCAGCTCGAATGTTCCACTTTCTATAAAGACAGCCCTAAACCATCGTCCAAAACATTACTTTCTCCTCTGCTTCCACACATGCCCTGTGCATCATAGCATCTCCTATGCTCCCTTAGATTCATACCAGGAGCTTAACAGGATAAGGCTTTTGTCTGCTTTCATCACCAGGCTCCCAGCCTGCAGCAGGGTAGCCTAGCAAGCAGAGTTATTCACTGGAGAGAGAGAGGCCTGGAAGAGGTGTTTGCAGGCCTAGTACTGACCTCCTTATGAACTCTACCTACAGGAAGTGGCAGAGACTGATGCCCTCCAATTTCTCCTTCAAAACCTTCTTTAATACAGAACGCTATTCTGAGGCTGGAAGTTTCCTCAAAACCCAGGCAAGGTGTGTGGAGCTGGGGAAAGAGCTGTACATAGTCGGGGAGAGGTGAGGGTGTCAGGGCTTGGGCTGGGTCATACCCTGGAGGCCATGCTGCCCCTGAACCTCTGCTCCCCCCATCGGTAAGAATGTGGCAGTAACTGACTTTCCAGGGTTGAGTGAGACTGTAGAGGTCAAAGGTTGTACAGACTCCAGTGGTCATTTTCAATCTGTTTCAAGCCTTCTGCTCTGGACTTTTTCTGTTGGATCGTGTGTGTGTGTGTGTGTGTGTGTGTGTGTGTGTGTGTGTGAGTGCCTGTCTGTCTGTCTGTCTGTCTGTCTGTCTGTCTGTCTGTGGAGGCCAGAGGGTCAATCTTGAGTTTTGTTCTTTAGGAGTTAACTCCCCACCCTTTCCCCTTCTTTTTTCTCTTCCTTTTCTCCTCCTTCTTCTCCATCACCTTATCTGAACTGGACCTTGAAATGTAGACCAGGATGGCTGAACTTAAACTCACAGAGATCTGCCTTCCTTTGCTTCAAATGTGCTGGAATTCAAGTCATATACCACACACCTGGCCATCTTTTTTTTTTTTTTTTTTTTTTTTTTTTTTTTTTTTTTTTTTACTTTTTCTGTTTTTAGACATCATCTCTCACTAGCCTGGAGCTCACCATGTAGGTAAAGCTGACTGAGACAGCCTCAGAGATCTGCATGTCTCTGCCTTCCCAGACGCTGTGATTACAAACCTATACCTCCACGCCTAAATGCTTTGTTTTTTAGATGTGGGTTCTGGGGATTGAAATCAGATCCTCTTCCATGCACTACTGATAGAACTACCTTCCCAGCCCTACTCTAGTTTTCCAAAATCACCCTCACTGCCTTAGACAGCATTCCTTCCTCCAACAGCAACTGAGCAAGCTGTCCCAGCATCAGGGCTCTAGGATAGGCTCAAATGTACAGTCTCTATCTTTGAATAGAGCCAGCATTGCCTGGAAGCCCATTAACTTGTTTGTCTACTGGGTCTGTGTGGCCAGCGCCCCATGCCAGCTTATGCATGCCTGATTTTAAAAGGTTTTAATGTGTCACTGTTTAATTCTTCCTGGGGAGATATTTTCTAGGCGATAGCGATATTTTGTAAATAATATACTTATTTAGTATCGGGTCTGTGGGGGAAGGCAAGGTCAGTGCACAGCCAGCGAAGCTCCTTTGCAGCCCAGGTCAGGTGGGAGGGACTCCTGAGCAGTGGCTTCTAGGAACTACAGTGGGTCCAGGCAGTGTCCGGGACACTTCCTAGAGACCATGACCCATAGTGGCAAGTGTGAAGACTAATTAAAGGATATCAAAGACAAGTGGCCAAGAGATTCTGGCTGCTAAAAAAAACAAAAGCAGCCAGCCTAGGACTGCACAGTCACCCTCCCCACAATACCTCCCCTCCCAACCCCACACACTTGATTTTGCTTCACCTGACTTTCTGCCACTGATAGACAGTGACTGTGGGTATGGCCTTTGTTTTTGTTGCATGTTTTGTTTTGTTTTGTTTGAGACAGTGTCTCATGGAGTCTAGACTGGCATCAAACTCAATATGTAGTCAAGGATGGCCCTGAACCCCTAATCTTCCTACCTACACCTCCCAAGTCCTGGGATTACAAGTGTGCAGTACCTTGACAGCATAATGTGGTGGTAGGAATGGAGCTCGGGGCAAAGAACCCAGGGAATTTACTGTCTGCTTGGACCCAGGTGGGTGATCTCCACCTGGAAAAGTGAGGGACCAGAACAGACAGGGCTTCCCAGGAGTCAGATAGCTGGGACTGGACCCTTCAGTCTGTGACTCTGCAGCCGTGCAGTTTGTGCCACTGGCTACAGATGAGGAGCCCGTGGGCCACAGTGCAAGGGACAGAGGTGCCCTACAGAGCAACATCTAGAGGATCTAGAGGAATGGCAGAAAGCAATGGTGGGATGGCCCAGCAGAGAGGGTGTCTAAGGAGCAATTAACATTACTCCTCAGTTGCGGGTAGGGTTGACGACCATGAACAGAAACACAGGAAGAAGGGATTTCTTTTCAACCCAGCAAATATTTAGGTTAGTGGTTTTACCTCTTGGTTGTTGGCTACCTAGTTGCTTGCATGCTTGGTTGGTTGGTTCATTGATTGGTTAATGATTCAGTTGGTTGGTCAATGGGTTGGTTGGTTAATTGGTTGGTGTGACTCAGTTACTAGAATAATTGGTGGTTCAGTTGGTTAGTTATTCCATTGGTTGGTTGGTTGATCCGTTGGTTGGTTAGTTAGTGGATTGTTTATTCAGCCTGTTGGTTGGTTGGTTGTTCCATTAGTTGTCTAATTGTTTGATTGGTTGATTGTATAGTTGGTTGGGTGGTTTATTTGTGGTTCATCTGGTTAGTTGGTGTGTGATTCAGCTGGTTGGTGGGTGGGTGGGTTGGTGGGTGAATGGTTCAACTGGTTGGTTAGTTGGTTGGTTGGTTGGTTGGGGATTGTCAATATGGAAAAATATTAGGTTCTGTTGCCTATTTGAAGTCTTTCCTGAACTTCCTGACTTAAGAAAACTCCGTCAGAGGCTGGGATGTAGCTTAGTGATGGGACACTTGCCTAACATGTAAAAGGCCATGGAGCCCACCTCCAGTACCACAAAGAAAACAGGAGGAGGAGTGTCAAGAGTGAGGGAAATGGAGAGGGCCAGGGCAGTTCCAGAACTTAATCTACCTCCCACTTACACAAAAGTGTTTATCCACTCAAGAAAGATTCATCTGGGCTCCCTTTTACAGCCCTATTCAGGCCATTTGATGATGTTAACTCCTTGTTAAAGTTCGTGCCATTCTACACAAAGGAGTTTCACTTTAATGCCAAGGTCATGGATGTGGTAGGGATGCTACCACACACAAACACACACACACACACACACACACACACACACACACACCCACACACACACACACACACACACACACACCCACACACACACACACACACACACACACACCCACACACACACACACACACACACACACACACACACACACGAGACTGGCTCCCCAGCCTCACCATGAGCAGGCTGGAGGCGCCCAGAAAGCTCTCAAGGTCTCTAGGCTGCCAGACATGCCTCCCAGCCTCCATCAGGTCTGGCCCTTGCTGATGGCTGGTGATAGGGCTCCTTCATGGACCAACCTCCCCTGCCTTGCTTTTCAGCAAACATTCCAGGGGGGGTTATCAGCCTGTGGCTAATGTGGATTGTCATTCATTTCATCTGTATCACAGCCTAGACGCAAAACAAACAGAAAGCTGTATTAAAAAAAAAAAAAAAAAAGTCACAATGGCACAGAGGATCTGGCTGAATTTGTGAAAACAAACTGTGCCGCTCAGGTGCCAGCACGGAGGCAGCACAGTTTTCTGATAGCGAGACCAGAACAGCTCTAGGCTGCTTCTGCCTTCCTGAACTCCCCTGGGGTCCTCTATGACTCTCCATAAGGAAAGGGTCCAGTAGGCACAAAAGCAAACACGGCCTAAACTGCCTGCGGATCCCAGGCTGCCATGGCCACAAGGCATGTTCTTTGAGGGAGCACCTTTCCACCCAGCAAATCCCCAAGCTGGGGGATGCTGGGGAGAAGCTTGGAGGGTGCTATGAGCCAGAGTAGGCCTAAGAGAAGGCCCGCCTCTCCTGTCAGGAGCCAGGCCCTGTACATGTGGCTCACACTCTGTCCTTTTATCCTCAGAACGAGCCAATGAGGTAGCACTCCTTGGGTGGCCTTCTTTATCTACAGTTTCTCCATCCAGCATGACTTGGAAATATTCAGGGCAAAGGATGGCATCTGTGCTGAATATGCACAGATATTTTTCCATGTTGTTCCCTAAACACAGCAGATTTTCCATCTCCACAGCATGTGCGCTCATTCAGCATTTGATGTACCAGAGTAGATTTAAAGATCTCGGGAAGATGCACACAGGTTCTGTGCAAATACACCGTAGTACCACCCAAGGGGTGTTGGAGTCTCAAACCCACCCCAAGGATGGGGGGGGGGAAGCAGTGAGGTCCTATCCCCATCTGTCAGGTGAGCGAGATGAAGCTCCAGCCACCCTGTACTGGGGGTCACTGTGCCTGGGGTCACAGCAGCTTTTGAGTTCTGCAAATAGCAGCCAGGGGCCCAACTCTGAGGCAAGTTGACTGTTTTCAAAGAACCTCTGGGTTTGTTATCCTACTTCATCTTCCTGTACCGGGGTTTCTCTATGTCTCACCAGCCTGTTGGTACAAATGAGTCACCTAGTCAACCGGTAATCAACTCACTAGCCCAGCCGCACCTCTGCCCCCCCACTCACCGGGTCCTTCGGCACCCCACCTCAACACTTTGAGGGCTCTCTCCTCCTTCAAGGTTTACCTGGTAGAGGGCACTGTCAAGGAATCTGGCAGAGTGGGCCTTCCGGGGCTAGAAAGGGGTGACCTACTAGAAGTAGGGGACCAGGGCTCTGGTGGCCCTGTGAGTGCACAACCTCAGTGCTACCCCCACCCTCTGGGAGCTTTGCTTTTTCTTATCTATGGGGGGAGGGGAGGAGAAGTACTATTGGGTCTCAGTATGTCCTCCAAACATCTACAGACTGTGGCATAGGCCCTCAGTAAGATACACACTAGTAGCTACACTACACAGCCCATGTGCAGTGGGGAAAGCTCCAGAAGGGAATGAGGCTAGCTATTATGGGAAGGGATCCTCCTGGCTGGGTGAAGCCCAAACCACCAGTCACAGAGGACTTAACTAGCCAGGTTCTGTGCTGGGGGCTTTCACTATCATAACCCCACCTGTCCCTCCAAGTCAAGTGGGGTAGGAACCAGGAAACTGATGAGGCTCAGAGGGACCAAGCCACTGGCCTGAAGTCACAAAGCTAATGAGCAGTGGGCTCCTGTAGAATTAAATCTGAGGAACACTCTTGAATGTTGTCTTTACCACTGTGAGACCCAGCATTGAGAAATCAGCTCACCTCATGAGATCTTCAGTTAGGAGTCCTTACTACGTTGACTGCAGTTCTTAGGCTAGGATCTCCCTATCCTTACTGTGGGCAGGACAGGAATTCCCTGAATTCCAGAAGGAGCCAGGGGGTGTACTTTCACTCTGGCGCTGGGGATGTGGCTCAGTTGGTAGAACACTTGCCTAGCATGCTTGACGCCCTGGATTCTGTCCCTAGCACTGCACTAACCAGGTGTGAGACACAAAGCCTGCAATCCCATCACTTGGGAAATAGAAGCAGGAAAATCACAAGTTTAAGGTCATCTGCACCTGCTCATTAGCCAGCTAATGAGAAGGTCTCAGAAAGAGGAAAGAGAGGGAGGGGGAGGGTTGGAAGAGGGGAGGAGGGAAGGAATGAGGCTAGAAGATAGAATAAACATTGGTGAGGTTGGGTGGCCTCTCTCTCTTGAGTGACCATTCCAGGGTGGACCAAAATGCCACCCTTTTTCCCTTAAGTAGATACAAGCATTTTTTGTCCATTTAAAAATTAATTAATGCAGGAGTCTAGAAAGATAGACTTCATCAATGAAGAGCACTGGCTGCTCTTGCAAAGAACCCAGATTCAATTCCCAGCGCCCACCTGACATCTCTCAACCCTTCTGTGACTCCAGTGCTGGGATCCGATGCCCTCTTCTGACCTCCACAGGCAACAAGCACACATGTGGTACACAGACATACAGGCAGACAAAACGCCTGTACACGTTTTTAATGAATTCAAACAACATTTTCCAAAATGAACCAGTGCTTAGCAAGATGGTATGTGGCTGCAGTCTTGCAAGCCAGCTCCTGGACCTGCTGTGTGTGGCCCTATACCCTGTCTTATCCAGCACCTTGCCCTGAGTTTGTCAGTTTTCTGTTTTCTTCATGGTTCTCTGGCCACACTAAACAACTGAAACTCCTGGTGAGCTTTTAAAAATGCTATAAATAGACCCAGGCCCTTTTGATCAGCCACACTGAAGATGATGGCTACAGGAGGCCTCTGGGTGCCACCTGAGCCTCAGTTTGCCCAAGCAGGACAAGCCTGGGGACCAGTAAGGGAGGGGCTGACTTCACCATCTCCTTCCCGTCCATTCCCCTTTCCACCACACCCAGGAAGTGATCTCCACCCCACCGCCCCCATCTATGTGGTCCCATCTCCTTCTTGTGTCTTGTAAGCTTTGCACACAGTAGGTGTTCAGTAAACCTTTGGAAGCAAATCCAGGAAGTGGCTCCTATGACTGTTCTGTGTATGCACACAAGTGTGTGTGCTCTTGTATAGGGGTGTAGGCACATTCATGCCACAGTGCACTTATAGAGGCCAAAGGCTAAACTTCAGGTGTTGCTCCCCGCTTTGTTCTTGCACAAGCCAGGCTAGCTGGCCTTCCCTCCATTCTCCTGTCTCCACTTCCCATCTCCTGGTTGTGGATGCTGGGATTACAACCATTTAGGCCATCGCTTTTACGTGGGCTCTGGAGACCTGAACTCAGTTCTTCAGTCTTGTGTGCTTGCCCAATGAGCCTTCTCCAAAGCCCCCTTCAGCTATTCTCTGGCAGATGACTGTGTCTCAACTGACTCTGTAGAAACCTGAAGAATTTCACCAAAAGAGGCTGGACCGTAGCTCGGGTCGGGAGTTAGGGGAATGCAGAACACCTGCCTGGCATGCAAGGGGCCCTGGGTTCCATCCCTAGCCCTGCAAACATACCTAAGGAAAGAAACCAAAAGACCCTGCATGATGAGACCCAATGTTCCAGGGCCATGCAGGCAGCAAAGATCTCCCATAAGCTGAGCACGAGTGTGCCCCTTACACCTGCCCTTCATAGCAATATGTTTTGACTTAAAAAAAAAAAAGTCTTGAGGCCAGCTGTGGTGGCACAAGTCTTTAATCCCAGAACTGAGGCAGGGGGAGGCAGATCTCTGAGATGGAGGCCAGAGCAAGTTCCAGAATAGCTAAGGCTACACAGAGAAACCTGTCTTTAAAAAAAAATGTAGAAAAATGTAAAAGGCTTGAGGCTGGAGAGATGGCTCAGGGGTTAAGAGCACACACTGCTTTTCCAGAAGGCCTGCATTTGGTTCCCAGCATCCATATCAGGTGACTCAGAACTGCCTGTAACTCCAGCTCCAGGGGCCTCTACCCTCTTCAGGCCCTCCCCCCTCTGTACTGCTCTTGCTTTACATACTTCCTTTTCTTTGTTTATTATTTTATTTATTATATTTTTTAATTTTTTTTTACAACTTTAAAAAAAATAGAAGTTGCCAGATGTGGTGGCGCACGCTTTTAATCCCAGCACTCAGCAAGCAGAGGCCGGTGGATCTCTGTGAGTTTGAGGCCAGCCTGGTCTACAAACTGAGTCCCAGACCAGCCAAGGCTACCTGGTGAAAAAAAAAAATCCATCTTTTGTGGTTAAGGAGATTGGAGACAATCTGTGTTTGGATTTGAATTTATGTTTCCTTGAATCCTAGAGAGGAAGAATTTTTATGTTACATATTAGTCATTTCCGTGGCTTCTTCTGTGGATTATCTGTTCCCAATTTACTAATTTACAGTGAAAATGTCACTGCCAAAGGGACCAGATACATATGTCCTGCTGCCAACACTTGAGCTCCCTGTAGGAACAGTCCACAGAAAGCCAAATCAAATCAGAGTGATGCTTGGTAAGCAGGAGGCTTGGGAGGGACTGTTGAGGAGACTCTGGTGGCTAATGGCACGGGGGACCTCCCTGCCTCCATCTGCTGCTCTCTTGCATGCCCAGCCTTTCTTTGGATGGACATTTCAGTATTAGAAATATTACTGTAGGTGCATACCTGACCTGAAATCCCGGCACTTGGGAGGTGCAGGCAGGAGAACAGGTGTTCAAGGTCAGCCCGGCCCCAGCTATATAAAGAGTTTAAAGCCAACCTGAGCTACACAGGACTCGGTCAAAGAATAAGAAGGACAAACAGATATTACTGTGCTCTGAGCAGACCCCTGTCGTCCTAGCTGTACAAAAGGCCAAGGCAGGAGGTTGACTTGAGCCGGAGAGTTTGAGAATAGCCTGAACAACAGAGCCAGAGAGGGACAGAGGAGGGAGGGAAGGAGAAAAAGGATAGCAACCAATCACTTAGGGCTCTCTCTGGTCTAGCACACCCCCACTCCCCTTTTTTTTCCTTCTGGTTTTGTTGCTTAAAGACAGGGTCTCACTCTGTAGCCCAAGCTGGCCTGGAACTCATGTCAATCTAGCATCTCTTCCAAGCCATTCATTTGACTGCTCAGAGGACAAACTTGGCCCTCTCTGCCTCCTCAGCTGCACACCCATTCCCAGGACAGTTACAAAGCACAGCTGATACCTTTGGGGTGCCTGTCTTCCTGGTTGTTCGCAAGCAAAAGTAGTGTTGGGGTCTGTGAAACCTGACGCCGGGTTCCTTGCACAAAGCAGTTGTGCACAGAGCCTGTAGATTTCCTTTCCTGAGTCTTCAGACAGCTCTCTGACCTACGCAAGGTCAAGACTCACTATGACTGAAGCCTTGAGCACACAAAGTGAGGAGGGAAGAATGAGAAGAGCCTGACAAGCATGAAGTTCTGGGTTCAAATCCCACCACCACAGAGAGAGGAGGAACCAGAGAGGGACTCTAGGAGGAGGGTGAGTATAGAGGAGGTGGGAGGAAACAGGATGTGGGGTGGGCAACCCTGGGGCCCTCTTGCCTGCAGCTCCTAAAAGAACAGCCTCTTCCGCAGGGCCCTGGGCCCTCTGGTTTGTTCTCCACCCCCGGCCTCCACAGTCCAAACCAGGCTGAATCACTGCCCCTGAAGCCTTCCAGGTGTCCCTTTGTATAAAGATCCAAATTCCTAAGAACACCAGGTGAAGCCCTTCACATGGCCCCAACTTTTCTTTCCAGGCTTAGAGACTTAGATTCCAGTTCTGGTCTGCCACAGCTTTGGTTGTCAGATCCTTTGGCCTGTCTGGACCTGGCTCCTCATCTGTGGAAGAGACAGGGATGCTGACTCTGTAAAGGGGTCTTCTGATGACGAACCATGCATACGTTATAATAATAGTACAATGACATCGTAACAGTGCTTAGAAATACAGTTTTCCTGGGCTGGTGAGAGGGCATCAGCTGATAAAGGCACTTGCAATCAAGCCTGACTATCGGGGTTCAGTACCCTGCACCGATCGGCTAGAAGAGGAAAACCAGCACCTAAAAGATGTCATCTGGCCTCCCACGTGAGCACTCCCACACACACCTACAGATACACAAATAAATAAATGCAACTTTAAAATTTTAATATAATCATTTCTACTAGAATGTAAATATAAAAACTAAAATCTTGAAGCAACTTGAAGCCCCCCAATCAGGAAGCAAGGGTGGTAGCCACAACCTCTCTGGGGCAGAATTTTAAAGCCTAAGGACATGGTATATCTACTCTGTCACACAAAGCCTTATGTGGCCCTGGCGAGACCATGCAGTGAAATAAACACATGTGATGACCAGGAGGGTACAGCTCAGGACGCTGAGCTCTGCTACCCTACAGCTGTGTGACATACAGCAAGTTACAATTAGGGATCACCTACTGTCCCTGAGAGTATGTGACTACTGCAAGCCCTTTCCTCTTAGTCCCTAGGATAGCAGGCCGTATGGGAAGAGAGATTGGACAAGAGGTGCTGGCCAAAGCAAAAAGGGGAAACTGAGGCCTCCTGTAGCAAGCATGCTGGGTGTTCCATGAATTTCTATATCCACCCCAGCCAGGCAAGAAGCATGGACACCAGCTCCACGTTCTTGGCATTTGCCCTGCTCTGTAGACAGCTGAGAAAGGCGCTCAGAGAAGGAAGAGTCTGAGGAAGGTTCCGGAACACGTGGCCAGCTGCTTCTCCCATCAGCAGCTCTTAAACAAACAGCATGCTTCCTCCGTTTGCAAGTCCTGGGGACCGCACATGAGGAATTTTTTTTCTCTCCTCCTTTTTTTGCTGATTAAGTTCCCCCAAAACCCCCTTAAGAATTTTAATAAGAAATGCAAAAATCAACAAAAGTGCAGCAAAGTCTTTCCTGTTATTAAATAAGGGAAAGCAAATATTGCAGATCGGACATATTTCATAAGAGGATGTTATGTTTGGGTGGGAAAAAATGACAGAGAAAAGAAAGGGCTAATTTGCTTTCTGGCAGCAAATGTCTTTGCTGAAATTTGGTTTCAAATCTGATGACTGGGGCATTATCACCGGCTTGCCTGGAATTTAGGCCTTTGACATATGAGATGTATGTGCTCCAATAAGCAGGAAAACTGGGGTTTGGACCTCTATACTGTAGCAGAGAAGAGAATTCTGTAGCCACCCAGGAAATTATGATCCTTCAGGGACTACATGTAAGGCAAAAGCAACCTGGAACAAAGAACACTTGGGTTTTGAGAGAGAGAAAACAAGGTAAACGCTCTCTGTAATACCTTTTTAGACAGAGGAGTGAACTAAACTGCTGGCGTTCTAGTCTCAGCACAGGGAGAGGGCCTGCTGCTGCTGGACAAGGCTTTGACCACTGCCTCAGCTTCTTCTCTGTGTCACCTAAGGTAAAGTGCATAGCTGTTGTGACTCTCACTTTCCTCATCTTTAAGATGGAGAGGAATCCATGGAAAGACAGCTTAATGGGTAAGAGCTCTTAGTCGGTCAGAGCACTGACTGTTCTTGCAGAAGACCCTGGTTCAGTTCCCAGCACCCATATAGCAAGCAGCTCACAACTGCCTGTAACTCCAGTGCCAGGGGATCCAACATTCTCTTCTGGCTTCACAGACACGGCACTCCTGTGATGTACATAAACACACACAGGCAAGCGCACACACATATAAAACAAATAAAACCTAAAAAGAATAAAAATGAATGAATGAATGGAGAGAGTGAACAGCGCTTACTAAGAGTGGTGAGGTGAGCACATGTTGCTGCTCTTGTTGCTATGGAGAAACTCCTGACAGAAGCAACTTAAGGGAGAAAGGATTTATCTGGCTCACAGTTTCAGTGAACACCACCCATCAGGCTTTGTGATCGGTTCCGTGCTGGGTGCTTGCAGCTTCTCCCACCATGGTAGACCAGGAGGCAAAGGCTCAGGCAGGAGCCCCATGACCCACTTTCGCTAGCTATGCCACTCCGTAAGATTCCATGACCTCCCAAAACAGCCACTAGGCAGAGACCAAGTAAACAAATACATGATCTAGCAGGGAACATTACACGTGCAAAGTCTAAGAGTGAGGAATAAAAGAGCAGAAAAATGGGCTTCTGGAAGCAACACACTCAGCTCACCATGACAAGTGGAAAGGGAAAAAAATTTAAGAGAAAAAGGTCACACAGCCGTGCACCAAAGAATGGAATGTGCTCTGAGGAATGAGTAAGAGGTGACAACTGTGCTACACACGCCTCAGCCATCTGTCCTGCACACTTAGGCTAAGTGGTAGAGCCTGTCACATGTTAAGGTTGTAAACTCTAGCCTGCCACACACCAAGGTTCTATGGTATATCTTGCCACATGGTGGGACTGCATGGTCTAGCCTGCTACACACCAACGTACAACCCTGTTGCCTCCATCTGCCACCATTGTGCAGCATATAGGTCATTTGATTGCTTCTTTCTCTGTCATGATCAATAGAACACTGACACTATGATTTTGCATGCTGGTCAGCAAAAGTGAAAACTGGGTTTACTTTCTGGCTGGAGCACCTGACACAGAAAGTGGGTGCCACCCTTCGAGGACACCTGTTATGAAATAGTCTGTGGGACCAGGGCTTCAGAGAAAATGACCAAAGCAAAGGACAGTGGGGAAGTGGCCTCAGGGTGTGGGCGCTGCCAGTCAGCAGCGTCCAAGAGAAAATTACATGGTCCTGGCCTCCATCCTCTGTGTTCCCCCCAGAGGTCCAATGGTCTCACTAGCCACATCCATCTCCCCCAAAGGAGTGACAGAAGCAGGGGGTGGATACCTGGGCCCTGGAAATGCCGTGAATGGGACCTCACCAGCTACAAATCTCAGGCCCGTGTTTGTAGTCCCAGGACTGGGGCCCCGGCTATCTTCAGGCCGCCACCTTCAGACCCCAGACAAGAAAGCCAGGCTTAGGTGTCATCTCATTTGAGTTTACTTCCCTGAAGCATTGTTAGTATTTACATAAATAGTAGAAGAAATAATGTGGCAATCGCTTGTACACCTACCACCCAGATTTATCTCCATGGTGTTTTTGTTTGTTTATTTTATTTCAAGGACAAAGTATTAGAAACAAAGTTAAAGTTCCCTTATCCACTGCCAAGTACCGCAGAAGACTGGGCATTTGGTATATGAACATATCTTTTTGTACATCCAGTGTGTAATGTTGTGTGTTTTAGTTTTCAAAAGTAGGATGTATATTATCTTGCATCTTGCTTTTATCATGTGTTTGAAATTTGTCTGTTGATACACTTCTGTGGGTACATATTAATAATAATTTGTTCTTTTTTACTGCTGCTATACAGTGTGTGTGCCCTTCCTTCTAAGGAGGAACAGTTAGGTTTTCTCTATTAAAAAACAACAACAACAACCACAAGTCAACTACAACCCACTCATCTTGATTTACAAGAGGAAGATGTTGGAAAGATACATCAGGGTGTGAGAATTCTTTCTATTCTTCCCGAGAGCCTAAGTTGCATTCACAGCACCCATACCCAGTGGCTCAACTGCCTGTCACTCCAGCTCCAGTAGTTCCAACGACCTGTTCTGGCTTCCCCAAGCAGCTTGGTGAGTGCACACAAACACACACATAAATAGAAAAACACTTTTTAAGTCATCTGGAACTGAGAGATGGCTTGGTGATTAAGAACACTTACTGTTCTGTCCTGCGGGGGACTGGAGTCAATTCCCAGCATCACGTCAAGCAGCTCACAAATGCCTGAATCCATACACAGACACATATGTACACACAGCTTTAAAAAGAAAATCTTTGGCAGGGCAATGGTGGCACACATAATCGGGAGGCAGAGGCAGGAGGATCTCTGTGAGTTCAAGGCCAGCCTGATCTATAGAGTGATTTCCAGGACAGGCTCCAAAGCTACAGGGAACCCCTGTCTTGAGAAAAGAAGAAAAGAAGAAGAAGAAGAAGAAGAAGAAGAAGAGGAGGAGGAGGAGGAGGAGGAGGGGGAGGAGGAAGAGGAGGAGGAGGAGAAGAAGAAGAAGAAGAAGAGAAGGAAGAGGAGGAGGAGGAGGAAGAGGAGGGATGGAAGGAAGGAAGGAAGGAAAGAAGGAAGGAAGGAAGGAAGGAAGGAAGGAAGGAAGGAAGGAAGGAATAGAAAATCGGTATCTCCTCGGTATATAGACATACAAGTTTCTCTTAAGAAACTGTCCCCACAGTGGGATATGTTTGATTGTTAAGGAAAGGCATGAGATAGGTGGGCACAACAGTCCTGGGATCCAGCATCCCCTCTGGTGTGTCCCCTCTATGTGACCTTGAACAAGTCCTTCCAGTAAAATCGGTGTTCCGGATCTCTAACTGGGAGGATCAGTGTCCAGGAACCAGCCAGGTGGCTTATTTCCCTCAATAGTAGTACCACGGTGGTTTGGGGTTATTTTGGTTTGGTTTTTGTTTTTCTGGCAACCACGATAGACTGAAGGCTAGGCTGGATACCATGCAAGGAAACCTGACCAGCAAACCAGAACCCTGAGGGCTCCAGGCTCACCACTTACTACGTGGCTCCACATCCTAACAGGCAAGTGAAGGCGAACCTCTGCTTCCCAGCTTGTAAATTGGGTAAATTGAAAGAGCTTCCAGCTGCACAGGCCAACACAGTCTTTCTTTCCTGCGGCTCAACAGATTCTCCCTCAAAGCTGTGAAGGTGCGCGGGCTCGCCGGCGGAGTAAGTGGGACCACGTCTCGGATTGGGTGGATTTGGTGTGTGTTTCCCAACTCTGGCTGGTTGGGTTGTGGATGGCTGATGCTCATTAGCAAGGGAGGCTTCCTCTCAATGAATGCTTTCTCCTAGAGCGGTTGAAATTTGCTGAAATACCGCCATCTGGTGGTCGCGAGGCAACACTGCAGGTCCAGGACTCTCAGGAAAACAATGGGGCGACAAGGGGTGCCCAGCCCTGCTCAGAAATGCGACCGGCTCCCCATTGTCTGCGGGGTAAAGTCCGAAAGCCAAGCCTGGAATTCAAGCACCTCCACAATCGGCCCCGCCTCACCTATCCGGCCTTATCTCGGCTCCGACCTCCTGCCCTGGCCAGGCCCAGCTCCTCCCTGAACCTCCAAGCTGGGTCCAGCCTCTCACTAGGGCCAGCCTCGTGCTCCATACTGACATCAGCCCAGCTTCTAGGTCAGCTCTTCCAGGAAGCCTGCCTGGTCCATCGCCGCATCAAGGTTCTCTCCTTCCCTCCCACCAACTCTTAACAGAGTCGGTTTCAATACTGATGCTGCGTGTTGGATGCTGGAGTCAAACTCTGGAATGCTGTGTGTTGGATGCTGGAGCCAAACCCAGCCCATGGAGTGATTGAGGCTGGGAGCCGATCTAGACTGCTCTGCTCCCAGCCACCAGCAACAAAGACAGAGGTGGTGGCATCCAATTCGCAGGCCTGCTATGACAATCACATAATGGCCACAGTAGAAGTGACCAGGATGGCTAGATAAAACACAGGACACCCAATTGATCTGGAACCTCAGATTAGAATACTGTTGAATCTAGACACCGTGATGCATGCCTATATTCCCAGCATTTAGGAGGTGGAGGCAGAAAGATCAAGGTTGTCCTCTGCTACCTGCAGCTTGAAGCCAGCAATACCAGACTGTTTCAAGCCCCCACCCCTAAGAAAAGGAGGGGGAAACAACTTCCCTTTTTTGTTTATTTGTTTTGTTTTAGTATATTTCAAAAATTACAAAGTGATTGCGTTCATGGCTCACATTAAGACTTGGTGTCGATAGGCAGTGGTGGAACACGCCTTTAATCCCAGCGTTCAGGAGGCAGAAGCAGGCGGACCTCAGAGTAGCTCCAGGACACTAAAGGCTACACAGAGAAACCTTGTCTGGAAAAATCAAATTAAAAAAAAAAATTTTAAAAAAAGGCTTAGCGTCCATTTCCAGCTGTGTTTATGATGTAATAGACAGATGGCCTTCATACTGCTAGAAGTGTTTGTTTTAGTCTATCAAAAATTGTTTGCCTACCAAGGACTAAGATTCCACAGATCTCCCCTACCTGGTAAACCTTTTGTTTATGCAAAGCACGCTGCCGAGCACATTGCCACTTCATAGCCTGCAGCGCAGCCCTTTCCTTCATTGTCTTTGCAGTGGACTCTTTCAAAACTAACCAATAGCAAAAGTCTGTAAGCTCAGACTCTAGCCAATGGGAGAGAGACACAGTCATCACCTGTTGTAAAGTTCCTACCCGACCTGACATGCTTGCAAGTCTGCTGTGGGTCTTGGCACACCCTTTTTGCAAAAAGAATTGCATTGCCAAGCTACTTTCACTTCATTTGTGAGCCACCTAGATTGTTTTCTGTTTGTTTCTAACACTACTCTGGAATTCTGAAATGGAGTGTGTGTGTGTGTGTGTGTGTGTGTGTGTGTGTGTGTGTGAAGGCCTCACTTTTGCAGTCCCTCACAGATTCACACACACCTAGAGTCAGCCATATGCACAAGATTTCCACACTCTTGTGACGTGACGGGAATGTTTCAAATGCCTCCAGGGGAGTGCTGAAGTGCTACAGTGTTGCTCAGCCAGGAAATGCGATTTATTGAAGGAAATGGGCTCAGATAAGCCCCTGGCATGCATCAGTTACTTCACTGCTGGCTTCCAGTTCAGTGTTAATGAATCAACAGCAGATAATACAAAGGGTGGCTTTAAATAGAACCACCAGTACGAAACCGGGTTGTATTGACCACAGGATGAAAAAGTGTGATTACAGGCTGCCAGAAGCTACTAGCCCTGTGATCTCCTGGGAAGAACAGGTCAATATTTGCTAACTTTATAGAATACACATGACCACCAGAAATAGAATCAACTACATGGTCAATATGTGTCTGTGTTACATGAATATGACACATTAAGAGATACAGACTGGAATATCATGGGTGAGGTTTTACATGATGTTTGAGGTTCTTGTTTTCTTATTTTTTTATTTTTAGGTTTACTTATTTTATGCATATGATTGTTTTACCTTCATGTAAGTCTGTGTACCATGTGTGTGACTGGGGCCCAAAAAGGGCATCAGGTCCCCTGGAACTGAAGTTACAGATGGCTGTGAGCTGCCATGTAGGTTCTGAAAACTGAACCCACATTCTCTGAAAGAGCAGTCAGCACTCTTAACCCGAGCCACCTCTCCAGCACCTCTTGTTGGGTTTTTGTTCGTTTGTGTAGTTGATTGGTTTGGTTTGGTTTTTTGAAACAGGGTTTTGCAATCTAGGAACTCACGTTCCTGGCTGTATGGGAACTCATTCTCTAGACCAGGCTAGACTTGAACTCAGGGAGCCTCTGCCTCCCTGAGGAATTCTGGGATCAAAGGCATGCACCACTGCTGCCAGTTTCATATTGGGTCTCAGAATATTACCTGGCCTTGAACTCCCAGCCTCGAGGGAAGCTTGCCCCTCAGCTCTCCTAGTAACTATGACTATGGATATACACCACCATGCCTGGGTAGGGATTATTTTCAAATACTTCACCAAGGAAATCAAAGTTGGGATGTAAAGAGTATGAAAGAAACAAGATACAAAAGGTTAGAAATTTGAGAAATAAGTTGTTTTTGTTTGTTTTGTTTTAACAGACCTCAAGGCCTCTGAATGCTAGGCAAGAGCTCTACCACTAAGCCACACCCTAGCCTAAGGAGAAAAAATTAAGACAGGGTCTCACATATAGTCTTGGCTGACCTGGAACTTACTAAATAGACCAGGCTGGCCTTGGATTCATAGAGCTCTGACTGCTTCTCCTTACCCAGTGCTAGGATTAAAGGCATGTGCCACCGCACCTGGCAGAGATTACCTTCTCCCTGCCTGTCTGTATTCTTTGATATCTTTTGTGTAGTCTTCAACAGTTTCATACATGTATACAGTGTATCTTTTTTTTTTTCAGTTCCCTCTGATTTATTCAAAGGTCTGGCGGCCTCAAGTCATTTTCCCCCCTCCCTCCTTCCACCTACTAGCCACCCCCAGCTCTCCTCTCCCGTTCCCTACTTTCCCACACATCCCTTCATACCCCCTGATCTTTATCTTTTTGGTAATCCATCTGATCCGATTAGTACCGACTGCTAGAATGTTAACTGATCTTGCGGGCTTGACCGTATCTAAGGTGTGTGTGTGTGTGTGTGTGTGTGTGTGTGTGTGTGTGTGTTTATGTGTGTGTGTGATATCTCTGG